TTTCTACCCTACATGGTGACACATGTGCATGTTTTAGTGTGAATTAGATTCAGGTGGGTTTATTTTCAGCCCCCCCCCTTCCCCTTTATTTTTGCCCTTTCCAGAATCTCAGAATTTTTCTTTAGTTTTTTTAAAAATATCTCCCATGCACTCACAAATATGTTAACTACATATCACACATGATACCATGAGTGAAGAGAGTTCAAAGTTTCACCTTTGTAGCTACCAAGGCTATCACCCCATGCCTACTATAATTTAGGATCAGCCGCCAGTGATCGGTATCAGAATAAATTTATGCATTTATTATCTCGATAGCTATGTTGGCCACAACATTACATTGCTTAGTCTTGATTAGTTTGTATGACTTATTCTGTAACTGTTACTGACATATTCTTATCTAGTCCTTCTCCATCTTTTCAATTTTATGCATTTTCTTTTTTTCAGTGAATCTTTCTTTTTAACAAAGTTAAGGATTTAATAAAATAGTGAAACAAATATAGTTACTTTTTTAAAGAATTATTTATTTAACTTTATTCATTCATTTATTTTTCATTTAATTTGACCAGACACATACACACACAGAGAGAGAGAGAGAGAAAATGAGAAAGCAAGCCACCAGGTCCAGGACTTGAACTATCATCAGCCATGTGGGAGTGTCCAGCACCTTAGCCACCATGCCACCTGCTGATCCCATATAGTTACTTTTTCTACCTTAATTTTTTCCCGACTATTTGTCTAGGTGATTAAGGTCACTATAAATTCTAACCTGGTCTTTCTCAGATATATTCCCCCCTTTTTTTTTCACTTTTTAAAATTATTTTTTAATTTAATTCATTTCTTATTGTTGTTTAAAATTTTGACCAGAGAGACAAAGAAAGTGAGAAAGTAAGAAAGCAAGCCACCAGATCCAGTACTCAAACCGCAGTCAGCATTTGGGAGTCCAGCACCTTAACCTCCGTACCACCTGCCAGCCCCTGTTCTCTTCCTTTCTTCTATTGTATCATGAAACCACTGTACTAAGAGAACTGGAAAAGCGACATACATTTAACTAAGTTCTTGTTCCCATGGTTAAATATTGAGATACCACATCCAGACAATTGACATTTGCCATTAGAATATATTATATCAATAGTTCACTTTTCTTTTTTTTTAAGGTTTTTGCCATAGAGTGACTGCACCTACCAGAGAGAGACAGAAAGAAGAAAAGTGAGAAATGACTCCCCCAGGGGTAATGGCCGTGTGACAGCCCTTCTTCTCCATTCTCCTCTCAGGATTTTGGGAACGCTTTAACAACAACATGCATCTGGTGTGATTTTCAAGCCACTGGTTTGTTACTTGGACTGCAGTGAGCCAAGTGAGAGTCCAGCACCTTGACCACCACATCACCTGCTGGCCCCAATGTAGTTCTTTTTTTTTTTCTTAAGAGATTTTTCTACATAGAATGTTTCGCTGGAGAGCCAGAAAGTGAGAAATCACCACCCAGTGGGGATGGCCACGCCACAGTCCCATCTCCTCCATTCTCCTCTCGGGAGTTTGGGCACAAAGGCACACATATGTGCCCAACATGAGTTTCAAGCCACCAGGTTCAGGACTTGAACCATGGTTGGCCGTATGGAAGTCCACTGTGTAACTGTAATGCCATCTGCTATTCCTGAATGTAGTTCACTCAACCGAGCTGTGACTTTGAGTTGAGGCACTGACGGTGGGTAGTCATCCTGATAGTTTTGCTCAGTAAAACATGGCTTTCCTGATAGTTTAAAATGATTACTACAACAAAAGACCTACAGCTGGAATGGAAGAAAAGCTACAGAGAATTATTTAAATAAAGGATGGAATTTGGCAGACCGGAACTTGAGCAGAAGTGTGAAATAACAGGTACCATGGGCTATTACCAGCAGCTTTTAATTAACACCTATTGTTAGCCTGAAGAACTTTATGGAGAATACACAATTTTCCTGTATGCAGAGATAAAAAATGACCATTGAGAAGCTGCTGAGTGATTAAAGGTTAGTAAAACAGGTTTTTCTGTGGGACAAAAGAATAATGTAAGTTACTCACTGGATATAGACATCTAAGGGAAATCTCTAGTAAAACTGTGTTTGGCATAGGTGTGGCAGCCGTTTCAAAATTTTTCATGATGGAAAAAATTAAAAGAATTTACAAACTTTTTAAAAAATGAAAGTTAACAAGGGTTTATCAAAGGGAGTATAGGTTTTTGCATTAGCTTTTGTCAGAAAACAATCAGTAGTGTTAGATCTAGTAACTGGGACTAACAGCAAGCTAATGAGTGCTTGAATTTCTCTGAATAACCACTGTAAAACAAATCTCAGATTTCCACTATTTTGTCTATAAGATAATTCTATTTGAGATTAGGTTTGATTTGCACTGTTTGCTGGAGAAATGTTTCTTTTTTCTTTTTTTTTGTGGGGGGGGAGAGGTTTTTGCTATAGTGTACATGCATTCGCCAGAAAGAGACAGAAAGCAAGAAATCAACCCCTGGGGAGATGACCAGATCACATAATCCCTTTTCCTCCATTCTCCTCTCGGGATCTTGGGCACGCACACACATGCGCCCAGTGAGAGTTTAAGCCACCAGGTCCAGGACTTGAACTGTGGTCGACTACATGGGAGTCCAGCGACATAGCCATTATGCCAACTGCTGGTCCCAGAGAAATGTTTCTTATAAATAAATAAGATGTTTCTTTTTCTTTTCTTTTCTTTTTTTTACCCAGGACTTGAACCAAAGTCGGCTACATGAGAGTTCAGTGACATATCCATTACGCTAACTGCTGGTCCCAATAAGATGTTTCTTCCCTTTTTTTTGTTTTTTTTTTTTGGAGAAGTTTTTGCCATAGAACGCGCACGCAGGCCAGACAGAGACAGAGAGACTGAAAGCAAGAAATCACCCCCCGGGGGGTTGGCCATGCCGCAATCCCTCTCCTCCATTCTCCTCTCGGGATCTTGGGCGCACACACACATGCGCCCAGTGGAGTTTTAAGCCACCGGGCCCGGGAGGCTAACCGCGGTTGACTACATGGGAGTCTAGCAACATAGCCATTACGCTAACTGCTGGTTCCCCCCAGTAAGATGTTTCTTATAAATAAATTTCGTGGATATTACTTTTTTACATACAAATGAATTTTCTGGTCTAACTCTCCCAGGAATTGTTATTTTATAAAGTACAATTTTTTAAAAAAAGAAATCATTGAATTCAGCTATCAAGAGGCATTTTGGTTGGTTCTAGTTTGGGGTTCGTTATAAGTAAAGTTCTATGAACATCTGGGTAGAGGGAACAGGAAGAAAGAGAAAGGTATTTTTGACAGGGTCTCATGCTGTGATACTTTGCCCCAGTGTCCCAGTGTGTTAGGTTGACAGGGACACACTGTCATACCTGACCTGTTGAGATTGGTGTGGAATCTGAACCCGGTCTCCCAGGTGGCCCCAGTCTTGTGCAGTGGTGCTCTACTGCTTGCCCCTCTATGGCCAGCCCAAGAACTTTAAGTTTGATCATTAGAAGCTAGATGGTATAGAAGTGGTATAGAGGTTGGATCCCACATGGCCAACTTCGTAGTTTGAGTTCTGGATCTGGTGCTTGAATATCACTCTAGGCATGTGTGCCAGAATCCCAGGAGAAAGAGAAGGGATTGTGGCATGGTTATCCTTCCTAGAGAGTGGGGATGATTTCTCATTTTCCTTCCCTCTGACCAGCACACATGCCTGATAGCAAAACTTTAAAAAGGCAAACAAAAAGAAACTAGGTGATTACTGCTGCCAGAATAGCTACAGTGAAGTAGAGACGATTACAAAATGGCAAGAAATGCGCAGACAAGTTGTATAACTTATTAAATCCTCTGACCTCTTCCTCTTCATCCACAAAAATACACACAACTGCCATTTATTTTGTATGGCTGAGAGAAATTCAGACAAACACTGGGGGCACAAATAAGAAGGGAGATGGAGGGTAACAGTCACCAAATATAACACAGATGTTGTACACATGTTCCATTTTCTGGACAAAGCAGCACATATATAATATTAGCAAGCCTTGTTCATTTTAATTTTGATTATGTTAGCTGTTCACTGATAAAATTTATGTAAAATATTAATAATTAAATTCCATAGTTCTGCTTTTTTTTATTTGAAATCATTTTTCTACTGCATTTTACAATATAAAATGGAGAACATAGAATACTTGGTCATTTTTCTGCTTGCTTCTCGAGTAAAGGAAATAAAAAAGATAGTTAAATCTACATAAATCTTAGTATTTAGACAAAATAACGATGACCTTCCATTCTAAATAACTGTGAACTATATATTTATGACATGCTTTTCACTCAAGATCTTAAACTTTCTGTAACGGTAACTAAACTGCAGTTTGCTCTGATATAGCTTAATATAAAGTTATACTTCCACAAAGAAATTTCTGAAAATTACATTTCAAGGAAAGAGAATAATTATGAAAAATAGGAGAAAAGCAATATATTTTTAAAAATTGATAGTCATTTACTTCGTCATTTACAAAAGTATGTAATGTAATTTTTTCAAAGTTCAAAAAGATGAGACATTTGTAATAATGCAGCATTTGACTTCTCAGCTTTTTTACCTGAGAAGCACAAAAGCATAATTAGATAATTTCTTGGTTTTAATCTTAATATATTCTCTATATGCTCATATACAATTCTCCTGTAAAACCCACTAAGGTAAAAATGATAAGAAACCTGTTTTCTAAGCTGTCGTTTCCTCATGTTCAGCAATGTCTACTTGGAATCATACTTATCCTTGAATGTTACATTTAGGCCTCAGGGGCTCTGTGCCTCAGCACCTCCTGAGTCCAATAACATTTCACGTATGGGGGAATCCTAGCAGACCAAAATTCTTCTGTTTGAAAATATTTTTCCCATTAAAGGAACAAAAACAGTGTGATATAAATGCATTAAACAGTCAGATTCTATTTTGTTTTATTCACAGCTAACATGTAACATAAATTTTCTTCCTTATAGGTACCAGAGATTTGAAAAGGCATTTCTCCTAGCTGTTGACATTGGTGCTCGTGACCTGTTTATGGTGAGTCATTCCCAGAGATGATTTTGTGCCTTCAGTTCTAAGGCTGAGTAAGTTGTCAGTTTTTGTGACCATTAAAAAGGATTAGTGTCATTTGCAGCCTTAGACATATGGTAGGAAAGCATTATTCCATCTTGGCTTGCAGCTTTGCCTTCGTGAAACTGGTCAATAGCCATCTAGTATCTTTTTGACTTGTTGACATTTTCCTTGCCAGGGCCCAAAAGATCTTTTATGTTTTCTAAGAATTTATAATTCTTGAACTTTCCTCCTTTTGTACCTTGATGTGAGGGGATGACACCTTTCTATCTAATAAGCTTAAATGTCTTTCTAATCCATTCTCTGAAGAAGCCAAGAAGCTAGGAGATAGGGCTAAACACGTCCCATAGACCTTGAATGTGCACAATTTGTCCCTTATATTTTAGTGAGAATGAACAAATTGCAAATGTTCTCACGTGTATTTTTAAAGTAACCACAGTGTAAAGTGGGTCCAAGAGGTTATACATTCGTATTCACCCTAGTCCTCCCATTTATTAGCTATAGAACAGTAAAACTGACCAGTCCCTTACAGTTCTTTGTGTCTGTATCAGGATCTTGTTTTACAAACTTTTCTATAAAAGTGCCTCAGAGAGAGCAGAGAAGCAAAGGCATGGTCCTTTCTTGGCTTCCCAACATATTCTACCCTGCACTGATTTATTTCATTGTCCCCAAAATAGATAAATAGATAGATAGATAGATAGATAGATAGATAGATAGATAGATAGATAGCAAAAGCCTCTTGAAAGCAACAGAAACTCCTCAAAGTCTCCTTTACTTGAATCTTTTGCACAATGAAGACATTTTGTGCTTTAAGCTTTGATGATTTATTTATTTATCAAGAATTATTTATTAAATTTTATTTATTCATTCATTTATTTTAATTCTACTAGAGAGAGAGACATACACAGAGACGAGGGAAAGTGAGAAAGCAAGCCACCAGGTCCAGGACTCAAATCGTGATTGGCCATGTGGGAGTGTCCAGCACCTTACCACCACGCCATCTGCTGGCCCCCGATGTTTTATTTATTTTTAATTTTGCCAGAGAGCACATGTGCTAACCAGAGGGAAAGTGAGAAAGCACCCCCACACACACCATGGGGATGGATGATTATGCCACAGCCCTTTCTCTTCAATTTTTACTTTCTTTCAGGATTTTGGGGACACACACACACATACACACACATACACTTTCAAGCCACCAGGTCTGAGAGTTGAACTAACTATGCAGTCAGCCATGTGGGCTCCAGCTGCCTTTACCACTATGTCAACAGCTGGCCCAGTGTTTATGTTTTAAATATTAATTTGGCTTTGTCACATTGGGCCACTTGTTTTGGGATTGAATTGATATTCTAAATTTACATTATTCAATTCTGTTTTTCATTGTTCATGAAAAAATCTTTTTAATTACTTCAAAAAGTAATATTCTGAATATTCTGTTGTCATCTCTGTTTTGTATGCCTGGTAAGCATATTGGTACATTTAGGGAAGATTTTATTTTCATCAAAACCTATACATACGGATATCACAATGTCTGAAATTTAATTGTGATATTTTTACACTTTCTGACCTTACTTTCTCCCTTATCTCTACTTTCTCACCTTTGTTGCTTACTCACCCCAATAAAAGTAGATTTTCACCATCTTTTTTTTTTTTTTTTTTAGTAGTTTTTTTGTTTTAGGGGGTGGGGGCCCACCAGTTTTTTTGCTATAGGGTGTGTGCGCTCATCAGGAAGAGAGACAGAAAGCAAGAAATCACCCCCTGCGGGGATGGCTATGCCACAGTCCCCTCTTCTCCATTCTCCTCTCGGGATCTTGGACACATACGCACATGCACCTGGCATGAGTTTAAGCCACTGAGTCAGGACTCAAACCATGGTCAACTACATGGAGAGTCCAGTGATAGCCATTATGCCAACTGCTGGTCCCACATAATTTTTTTTTAATACTTTATATCTGGAGTCCTAATCTTTTTTCTAGCCAAGAACTAAGTGAGTTGAGTATTAAAATGTTTGGTTCCGAACACAATTTCTCTCTAAGGCATTATATAATTTCTACTGCTTTTCTTATTAATTAATATACATAATCATCAAAGCCACCTTCTAAGCTGTTTTTCAAAATCATATCTATTTCAACATTTAGTTTGTTTAGCACACACATAAAGAAAGTTTCCATGTTAGTTCAAATCTCAATCCAAATAAGCTCACTATATCACATAAAAGTGGTTTTTAATTTATTTTATTTTTCTTTATTCATGATAGAGTGCATGCACACTTGTGTGTGTGTGAGAGAGAGAGAGAGAGAGGAAGAGAAAAGCACTCTCCACAGGATCTAGTCACACTCTACAGTCCCTTTCCTCCAGCCTGTCAGATCTTGGCCACTGGCTTGCCTGGTGTGTTTCAGGCTGACTCCAGTAGGGATTTGAACCTCAGTCATCATGTGAAATCTGACTTCTCTTGAGCAGCGCATTGCTGTTGTACTATAGAATCAGCCCTATAAGAATTTTTACATTCACAAGATAAAGACAAGAGATAAGAAAGGAGAGAAATGTTTTTGCCTTACTTTTCATTTGCAGAAGTAAACAGTCAGAATTCAAATACAGCATCCTCATTCTTACAGAACTTTTGCTTATAGCCCAAAGTGCCTTAAGAAAGCTCAAATACAGGAAGCATTAAGGCCTCAGAGTTTCATTTCAGCACATAAGCAATCTACTATGTACATTTGACACTCCACGCTGAAATTGTCTAAAAAAATTTATCATGTTTTCTTTCTTTTTTTCTTTTTTTGCTAGAGAGCGTGTATGTTTGCCAGAGGGAGAGGAGAAAGCATACCCCATGAGGAATGATCTTGTTGCAGTTTCTTCTCCATTTCTTCCTCCTTTTGGGATTTGGGGCATACATGCACACATGCCCAGCATGTTTTTCAAGCCATCAGGTCCAGCACTAGAACTGTGGGGTGAGCCATGTGAGATCTGAATGCCTTAACAACCAGGCCACAGAACCAGCCAGCCAGCCCCATGTTTTCTAATAGATTGATTCTTACTATTTAAGTTTTATTTAGCCAGGAGTCTGTAGCCTTACTGGAAAATGTTACCACTTTTGATATTCAAGGTTCATAAAATAGGGGTCAGAAAGTGGCGTAGTGGTTAAGGCACTGGACTCCCATATTGCCAACCACAGTTCAAGTCCTGGACTCAGCAGCTTTAAAATCACACCAAGTGTGTGTGTATGTGTGAATGACCCAAAATCCTGAGAGGAAAATGGAGGGAAGGGATGGTGGCATGGCCATCTCCCCTGGGGGAGGGGGGAGGTGTTGATTTCTCACTTTCCCTTTCTCTGGAAAGCACACACGCCCTATCCCAAAAATCTAAACAAACAAACAAAAAAAAGTTTATAAACTAAACAAATCTTACTTATAAATGATTTTAGTCACTAAGATTATGTCTTCCTAAATGTCTTCCTAAAAATACTATATATATCACAAAGAAATCACAAAAAAAAAGTATTAGTTACCTCAAAATAGACCTTTTTGCATTAGTATCTATCAGTGGTAGAGATACAAGACATACAACATGACAAGAAATTTGCTATGGGGGAAACCAGAGAGTTGGGACTAGAGGGGCTTATATACCATATATTTCTCTTAAAGGCAATGAGAAGCTGCTAAATGGTTTAGAAAGAGGGAAGATACTTACTATCTTTTTAACCAGAAGTTTGCAGACTTTTTCTATAAAGGGCAAAGTAGTAAATATTTTAGATTTTACAAGCCACGTGGTCTCTGTTACAGCTACTCAAATTCTACCGTTGTAGAGCAAAAGTAGCCATAGGCAAAATACATAAGCAAGTGAGTCTGCTGTGTTCCAATAAAACATCATTTACACACCTTAGAATATCATATAATTTTCAAGTGTCAGCATAATGCTATTCTTATGATTTTTTTTTTCAATGATTTAAAACTGTGAAAAACTTTTTGTGTCATCTTTGCCTCATAGGCCACAATTTGCTGAGTTCTTATTGAGAGTATGATCCCTTAGGCTACTGTGTGGAGAACTATTAGGTCTTAGGAAAAGTCCTAACACATTTTTGCATAGAAGAACAAAGAAAAATACATTATAACTTTTCTCACAACCCAATAAAAAGGGACAAGGCTCATATATAGTGTAAAATAGATGAAGAGGTGAGTTCTTTTAGACCCGTTTCTTCAGGTCCAGAATCCTAATGTTATTTTTTTTCTTTTTTTTTTTTAAATATTGAAGGCTCATTGATTCCATTTCAAGCTCCCTCATATAGTAGCTGTATAATTTTGTATAATTTACATAAAATTTTTGTCTTCGTTTTATTACCTATGAAGTGCTGATAATAATGTGTAAATTACCAGTTTGTTTGAAGTATTACCAGTTTGATATACAGCCATTCCTCACTTAATGACCTACCCGCTTAATGCTGGGCCTTAACAACCTGCTCTTCAACACAGGGAATCCCTTTCCTCAGTCTTTCTGTCTTGGGAATCCCTTTCTCAGTCTTTGTCTCATCCCCATGATCAGTTAGTATTCACTATATGAAGCGTTTGTAATCACACAAGACTACATATCACATTTATAAATTTGTACTTTATTATAAACCCATAGTACTAAATAAATAAAATAAAACAATGAAATACAAACAATTACACTGAATTTGTATTATTGAATATAAATTAAAACAATTACACTGTATAAATAAAAACAATTACACTAAATTTGTATTATTGTGTTTTGGTGTGTCTTGTCACTTTCTGGAGCTTATCTAATGTATGCTTTTTGTATAGATAGAATTATATTATTCTAGCGTGGAGTCTGGTGATATCTATTGATAAATATTTACCCTCTGGTGTCATGACACACCATAAGACACCTGTCTTTTAAGCTTCTCCCTTTTCTACCAATTCACTTAACAGCCTAGTCGTAGGACTGTAGCTTAGTTAAATGAGAAG